TTGCCTCCCAGCCTGGTACTGAGTTGAAGAAAGGAGGATTTGGGGGGGGGGGGTGGAGAGGTGGGGAGGGTCCCACACAGTCATGTTCAGGATTGAGTTTGACCCTTAGGTCTGATAGCTGCATCCTGAAAATTGCACAGTAAAGACGTGAAGGCAAGACAGTTGGTACTGAAATATTGAAGGTGGAGAGGCCCTCTCTGGCTTGAACCTTTCTTCCTGTTATTTCTAGCTGGGATTGATTCATATTACTCAAGACCTCTAGGTCTGAGGAGTACAAGGAAGGAAGGAAGGAAGGAAGGAAGGAAGGAAGGAAGGAAGGAAGGAAGGAAGGAAGGAAGGTGGAGAGGTTAGGACATGTAAGCAGAGAAGGAAAGGGTAACAGCCTAGGTGCAAGGAAAAGGAATCTACTGACCACAGGCAGTAGACAAGCCACGCAGGAAAGGGATTTGGAACAGTGGATAGGGATGGGGAATTATTGACTGTGTATTGACAAGTAGGGGGAGCTGCAGTGGCTCAAGTGGTTAAGACGCTGAACTGCAGGCTGTGGAAGGTCAGTAGTTCAGCAGTTTGAGACCTGGGTGCCGCATGATGGAGTGAGCTCCCATCTCTAGTTCCAGCTCCTGCCAACCTAGCAGTTCGAAAGCAAGAAATTGCAAGTAGATAAATAGGTACACCACTTCGGTGGGAAGGTAACAGCGTTCCGTGCGCCTTGGTGTTTAGTCATGCCGGCCACATGACCACGGAAACGTCTTCGGACAGCATTGGCTCTTCGGCTTTGAAACGGAGATGAGCACCGCAACCCTAGAGTCGGATTCGACTGGCTTTCGAGCAAGGGAATCTTTACCTTTACCTATTGACAAGTAGGTTTGATTTAGGGAACTGGACAGAGCCAGAAATGTCCAGAATTTCCCCCCACGTTTTTAATGCCTTCATTGAGGTATAGCTCAGAAGGCAACAGAAGGTCTACTGTTTAAAGAAGAACTCTCTGCTTTATCTTTTCCCTGCTTTAGCCTTTCCCCAATCTCATAGAAAACTGATAGCCTAAGAAAATCTTCCCACTAACTTATCAAACCCTTTGTAGCTGTCCCCAGTATATGGCCTGGCTGCCTACTTGTGGGGAAGGGTGGGATATAAATCGAATAAAATAAATGCAAATAAAACACACTGTGCTGTGGTGTGCAGATGTAGGTTGGAAGGGGCCCCAGAGAGCACAGTGAAGTCCTACAATACTGTGGTTTGTTTCATCTGCCGTGTCTTCTGATTCTAACAGGGCGATCCAGGCGAAAAGGGAGATCCTGGCTTCCCAGTGAGTAAAAGGCAATGGCAAACCACCTCTTCATGCCTCTTGCCTTGAAAACCTCACGGCATCACCAGTGTCCCCTCTAAGCTGAGTCAGTGTGAGCTAGCTCACAGGTTTTTTAGCCTCCAGCTCACACATTTTTGTCTTAGCCCAGGAAAGATAGCTCTGGAGCAGACTAATTTATCCAGCAGTCAAATCACTCACTCACAACTTTAATGCCTTTCGCTCACAAAGTAGAATTTTTACTCACAAGACTCCACGGCTTAGAGGGAACAAACCATAAGTCAGCTGTGGTTTGATGGGACTTTCCACCACCCTATGAATGCCACTGTGTCCAAAAAACGATGACAAGGATTAAAAAGGACTTCATGCTGCTGTCACCACACAGTAACTGAGGAGGGGGCAAGCAGGCTCACACCATCCATCTCACCCATTTTGCCGATGTAAACATTTTTTTTCTGCATATGTCAAATATATTGGTGTTTGCACATGTGCAAAATATTGGCGCATGCGCCGTGAGAAGCAGGGCCTCCAGCTTCTAGTAGCCCCATTTTCTCTAGCGATACTCCATCCGCTCATAAAGTGGGTGCAGTTATGCCCATCTCATTTTAACATCAAAAGGAGCACACAAATGAGAGGTGCTGAATTCTTCCTGTTTGTTGTTGTTGTTCAGTCGCACAGTCGAGTCCGACTCTTCGCGACCCCATGGACCAGATCACGCCAGGCCCTCCTGTCTTCCGCTGTCCTCTGAAGTTTGCTCTATTTCATGTTCGTTGCATCTATGACACTGTCTAACCGTCTCATCCTTTGCCGTCCCCGTCTTCTTTGACCTTCAATCTTTCCTGTTTTGCTTCTCCCATATCCATTGCCCCTGTGGTTTCCTTCCAGCCTGGTACTGAGTTGAAGAAATGAGGATTTTTTTTGGGGGGGGGTGGAGAGGTGGGGAGGGTCCCACACAGTCACGTTAAGGATTGAGTTTGACCCTTCGGTCTGATAGCAGCATCCTGAAAATGGCACAGTGAAGACGTGAAGACAAGAGAGTTGGTACTGAAATATTGAAGGTGGAGAGGCCCTCTCTGGCTTGAACCTTTCTTCCTGTTATTTCTAACTCGGATTGATTCATATTACTCAAGACCTCTAGGTCTGAGGAGAGGAAGGAAGGAAGGAAGGAAGGAAGGAAGGAAGGAAGGAAAGAGACAGGCACTGGGAGAAGGAAGGAAGCAAGCAAGCAAGAAAGGAAAGAGACAGGCACTGGGAGAAGGAAGGAAGCAAGCAAGCAAGGAAGGAAAGAGGGAGACAGGCACTGGGAGAAGGAAGGAGGGAAGAAAGGAAGGAAGGAAGGAAAGAGACAGGCACTAGGAGAATGAAGGAAGGAAGGAAGGAAGGAAAGAAGGAAAGAGGGAGACAGGCCCTGGGAGAAGGAAGGAGGGAAGGAAAGAGACAGGCACTGGGAGAAGGAAGGAAGGAAGGAAGGAAGGAAGGAAGGAAGGAAGGAAGGAAGGAAGGAGAAAAGGGAACGAAAGGGAGAAAAGGGAATGAAGGAAAGAAAAGAAATGGAAAGAAAGGGGAAAAGGGGGAGAGAGAGCGAGAGAGGTGAATGAAGGAAAGAAAAGGAAATCAATGGAAAGAAAGGGAGGGCAAGGGAAAAAGTGAAAGAAGGAAAAGAAATAAAGGAAATGGAAAGAAAAGGGAAAGGGGAAAGAAGGAAATGAAAGAAATGGAAAGAAAGGGGAATGGAAAGAAAAGGAAAGAAAAAAGGGAAAAGGGAAAGAACGTTGTCTAATCACTTTTTGTACTCTATGTTTTATGAAGTTATTCGGAAATGTGGAAGTTCTGGAGAAGAATCCAGATTTGAAACCGAGAGAGAGAGAAATTGAGATAGATATAGAGACGTAGACATGAGTACAGATACACAGGTAGAGACACAAAACACAGATAAACACATAGAGACACAGACTCGGATGGACACACAGATGATGACAATGATTTTGATGATGATTTTGATGATGATGATGATGATGATGATGATGATGATGATGATGATACCTCACACCTTCTCCCCAGAGGGGATTTTGGGTGTTTTCCAATATTTGACAAATACAATAAATACAAATACAATACAGATAACCAGGGCTTTTTTTTAAAAAAAAAGAAGAAGAGGAGGACGAGGAGATTGGATTTATACCCCGCCCTTCACTACCCAAAGGTGTCTCAGAGCGGCTTACAAACTCCTTTCCCTTCCCCTCCCCACAACAGACACCCTGTGAGGTAGGTGGGGCTGAGAGAGCTCTGGCAGAAACGGCTCTTTTTCAATAACAGCTCATATCAGAACTATGGCTTGCCCAAGGTCATCCAGCCAGGTGCAAGTGGAGGAGTGGGGAATCAAACTCGGTTCTCCCAGATTAGAGTCCGCGCACTTAACCACTACACTGCCAGAACTCTCGAGAGGGAAATAAAGTTTTCAAGCTGTATACTGAAAACTCATGAACTTTTAAACATTTTTTAAAGGATTTTGTCAAAGAGGTTCTGGAACTCCGTTCTAGCACATTCCCCCAGAAAAAAAAGCCCTCCAAATAACTAAATGCAATAAAACCACTTAAACATCAACTCACAGACAGAGCCACAGACTAGGGTTGCCAGCCTCCAGGTGGGGCCTGGGGATCCCCCATTTTTACAACTGGTCTCCAGCTGACAGAGATCAGCTCCTCTGGAGAAAATGGCTGCTTTGAAGGGGGGACTCTATGGCACTGTACCATGATGAGGCCCCTCCTCTCCCCAAGCCCCGCCCTCTCCTGGATCCACCCCCAAAGTCTGCACAGTTAAAGACAGAGATACAGATACCCAAACAGAGATGCAGAGAGAGACACAGATATACAGATGGTTACACAGATGAGACACAAACACACAGACAGAGATAGAGTTACATAGACAGATACACAGGTATGCAGAAAGTGAAACAAATACTGATTCACAGACACAGATAGAAACACAGACACACTGATAGTGAGTCGTGACACAGATTCAGATACACAGGTAGTGACACAAATACACAGAGACAAAGACACAGATACACGGATAGTGACACAGATAGAGAGGCACACAGACAGAGACAGAGGTACACTGTAAGAAGAGCTCTGTAACCTCTTGGAGGATTGGCTACATTAGGGGTGTGTCGCCTAATATGCAAAGGAGTTCCTGCTACAAAAAGAGCCCTGGATAAATAGATACGCAGGTAGTGACACAGATGTTAAGCAGACCAATGAAAGAACATAGATGGGCAACAATGTTATAAAATTTAGTACCAGGGGGGAAAAGAACATGGAAAAAATTAGCTTCCTTGGATGTGAAATTCTGGCCCCGGTCACACGGAGAATTAGACACGCTAGAGAGACGGATGATAGGTGGATTTCCCGGGCGCGATCTCACCGCCACATCTGGGAAGCGTAGAGCTCCCGTGGCTCACCCGAGGCTTTACTCCGAAGATGTGCTGTAAAAAACTAGTACCTCCGAGGTACTAGTTTCCGGAAACTGCGGGGCAAGGGCGGGCGTCAGATCACGTTTCTGGTGTTAGCTCGTGGCATCCGGC